GCACACCATCTCTTTCCCCCGCGTTCTTGCTCATCTCTCTGGCATCTTGGTCTTGCAGTGTCCCAGCAGTGAAGTATTTGAACCGCTCCTCCTCTGTGACCCCCACAAAAGGGGGAAGCACTCTGGGAAGGGGGTCAACAGCTCCCGCCATGAAGTCTTGATCCGAAAGTGGTCTGCAGTGTCCTAGGAATCTGAAAAAAAAAAAAAAAAACTTTCCACCACAGCTTCTTAGGATGCTGCAGGAGCATTCCAGGAACATGGAGCCTGTTTCTAGAAAGTTTTTTCTTGCCTGCCTTTTTCATTGGTGGCAGGGGGGTGAACTGTCTGGGGGCCACCACATTCTTCTTCACTTGATGGGGCTTGCACCCCAGGAAGTGCATGGGATCTTCATCTGGATTGGGACTGTGGCGTGAGAGGCAGCAGTCTGTATGCCTGTGTCTCCTGCTGTGAGGTTGAGCCTCGAAACAAAGGCCTGCTTTCCGGCAGCACGAATTGCAAGCACGGGGGCTTCCAATCCGGTTCAGGAACGGCGCTCACACTGGGTCAGCGGAGACAGAGGAAATGGGTCCCGTTACAGTCGCCGTTGTATGGAAGCTAGCAATCACGCATGGCGGGGAGACAGAATTTCTGGCCTCAGCAGAGCAGTGGTTGCTTCGTAATGCCCTGGTCGGCGCAAGTCCCATACTTAGCTGAATACGAAGGGGCTCTGACACGGCTTAATTTCCGTGTGGGCATGGGCTGGGTCTCGCTGGTGGTGATCCTCGCCCTTTTGGCCCCTCTTTCTGCGTGCGGTTTTAACAGTCCTGACCCCACGGCCTTCTCTGTGACTTCGCTTGCAGCACAGCTTTGTCGGCCAGCCTGGTCTTTCTCGTTCTCTGGCCGTGGAACTCTTGGACAAAGTGAACAATCCCGAACACCACACCCATTTCGGAGAGGCGGACGACGACGACTTTGAAGTGAGTACCTTCCCCAGCAGTTTTCTCATCTTGGGCTTAGTTTTCACTGGAGTGGAATCCCTCACACACGGGAGCGGCCAGAGTTCCCACCGTCCATCGAAAGCAGAACAGCCGTCACTTAGCTTTACCACCCCTGTGAGGTCTGGTCTTTTGCATGCAGAAGTCGAACGCCGAAAGCATTTGCCCGATTTTGGTGCGTGTTGATAATAGTATTCTATGTCGAGCCTTTCCCAACCCAGGTCCCTCCCGGTGTGTTGAACTACAGTTCCCAGCATCCCCTGCCAACTGGGAGTGGTAGTCCAGTACAGCTGCAGGACACGAGGCAGCAGAAGGTTTCCTGGGTTCTTGTCCCAGATGGGCCGGGTCACCAGCTAAAGCGCCCCTAAAGGCTCTCTGTGTGGTTTAACATGTTTCTTCCAGTTGGTGGAACATGTCAGCCGGAGCGCGAGACTCTTTGTCTCACGCATACGCTGCAGGTTCAGTCTTGTGGAGAGGCCCCGAGGGCCCTTCTGGGCTGGCCCCTCGGGGGAAGCACGCCTGGTGGCGGCTTGTAGCAAGGACGTCAGGGTGGCATCCGGAGATGCCTGCAGGCAGGGAGCACGAGCGGCATCCGCGAAACGAGGCCTTTGCACACCACGCCAGAGGCGGCATCCATTTTCAGCAGAAATGTTAGCGCACGCTCCTCATGGATGCCGGAGGGAACGGTCCTGCAGTTCCATCCGCGGTCTGTGCACCTGCCTCTTTACCCTATAAGAGGGTGTGGGGATCCCATGCAACAAAATTCGCAACCCCCAGCTTCCTGCCCCAGGGAGCCTACAGGGTAAAATATAACAAAGGATGAATCGTGCGTTGTGAGCCGCCCAGAGGAGCTGTGCCACAATTGAGCGGCATACGGATGTTTTAAGTGAGTAAATAGCAAACCATCTGAGCAGCTCAGTTGCTTGAACTTACACACTTACACGTGGGACATTTCAAACGGCGTAACTCTTGAACATTTATCGTTAAAAATGAGTATACCAACTGGGTTCTTCCATGTACTGTTGTCGTGCTCGTTCAGTGCTCTCAGGCAATCCCGTGAACAAGCCCCTCCAGAAGGCCCCGTCCGTGGCAGCCCCTGCACAAGCTCTTGCGAATTCTGGGCTGCGGCTTCCCTTCAGGACTCCCTGCGTCTCTGAACTGCCCTCTCCTTTCGCCTCCTTCCTCCAGTTCTTCCTAGCACGATTGTCTTCTCGCAGGGAGTTTAGCCTTACATGGCACCCTCATAATGCACCCAAGTACAGCAGCCTCAGTTTTGCCATTGGCGTCTACTAAATGCCATAAAGCCAGGGGCAGCAGCAGGCCGGAAAGGGAAGAGGTACACAGATGCGGGCGAGGGCTTGGCTGGCTGGCTGGCTGGCTGGGCCTTGCGTCCGTCTGCGTTGGGACTGGAACTCTTTTTATTTATTTTTTTATTTAAGCATCATTTCAATTGTTAACAGTATTTGCTTATTTTATCTGGCCAGGGTGACTTCTTTTATATTGCTATTTATTATTATTATTATTATTATTATTATTATTATTATTATTATTA